ATGTTAATGCACATGCCCTGAGGAAGACACTCACAAGATCCTCAGCTCTGATTGGTTGAGATGAAATATGGGAAAAGTTGAGAAGAAACCTACAGTAAACACAGCTTTTTTGATCCATTTCTGCAAATGTCTTTCAGTGTGTCCCATTTCTTTCAGGCACGTACCACTTTCAGGTCTGGATTTATAAAAGTCACGCAGGTGTGGGGGGAAAAAAAATCAAAGAGTCTGCTTAAATATAATCTGTTTGTTGTGTTCGTCTGTGGCTAGACTCACCCGGCGTCGAGGCTCTGGGCACTGAGGGAGGCCGATCCGGACTCTGTACCGCTCTCTGCATCGCTGTCACTCTGATACTCCACCGGAGACGTTGAACCTGGCTTAATACGAACTGCAGAGAGGACAGGATGGGGGGACAGAAAGGAAGGAAGGAAGGAAACAGTGGTACGAATAGGAAGAGAAGAAAATTAAAAATCAGACAGATGGAAAGCGGGATGGAGAGAGATAGAGGAAGGGCAATAGAGAGCATGAGAGGCCCAGAGAAAGAGATAAATAAGAATGAAATTAGAAAATTGGAGAACAGAGAGAATAGAGGAAGATGAGGAGGGGTGGAAAGAGAAGAGAACAGCAGGGGGTTAATATCTTCTTAATAGCGATGTCTGGATTCCAGCAACTTAGCAAGACAAAGGTTCCGTGTGTGTGTGTGTGTGTATGTGTGTGGTTAGGTGTGGTCTGCTAGGCTGCAGAATTGATGGATCAAATTTGTGGCCAAAAGCCCATGCTGGATTTCCCTGCATGTCTGATCATTTCTACATTCCTCTTTCTCAAAAGAAACATGTTTTAGTGTTCTCGTCCAACCAGTCTGTCTTTCTTTCCTTTTTCTCTCATTTCGACAACCTTTTACAAAGTCAAAAGCAGGAAGAAGAAAATGTGAACAGATGTTAATGAAAACAAAATTCTGCAGAACTCAAAGACAATGCTAATTAGCAATTAACTAGAAGACAAATCTCTCGAGGCTATCAGAAGCCTCTGCTGGTTGTCTTCAAGTTTCGGCAAGCTGTTAGAAATATGAACACATTCTGGGTTTTCACCAAGGAGGATAAGTCCTTTAAGTTGTGGTCTTGCTTCTAAATTCTTGATAGCTGAGAGTAATTGCTCACTAGATATTTTCTTGTCGAATGCTGGGCATTTTGGACATTTAAATTAATGTCCACTTCGGCGAATAAGCAGAAGGAAGACGACCTGTTGTCTCTTGAAAGTCAGATCTCAGTGTGAGATTACACTAGATGAGAAGATCACACTATTTGATATTCAAAGCTGCTATAATCAACAGTTTTACACGCACAATTGATCAAATGAATACATGTGCGGGAAAGACATCACTCCAAATAATTATCAGCCAACTCTGAGGTATCCTCTGTCAGATAATCTGTCTGGATCAGACAGCAGCACTAATTTATTTAGTCTATTGGTACATTACCCACA